ACAATGAAAGAAATAAAGAAAGAGAGAGAGGAAGCAAGAAAGGGAGAGAGGTAGAGAGAGAAAGAGAGAGAGAGAAAAAGAAAGAAAGAGAGAGAAAGAGAGAGAGAGAGAGAAGGAGAGAGGTAGAGAGAATGGTAGTGGATATGAAAACAATAACAATTATAATGAAATTTTAATGGAGTAATTTTGAATGGGCTGCCGGTCGGTGTCGTTATTTGATTATGCCGTCTGAAGAACGCTAAAAAGTGCAGGAATGAATGAATGAGTAAATGAATGAAGGAAGGAATGAATGAATGGAGGAGTGAATGAATGAAGAAAAGAATGTTTAAATAAATGATTGAATGAACGAACGAACAAACATATGAGTGAACGAATGAATGAACGGTTGACTGAATGAATGTGTGGATAAACACATAAAGAACTGGATGAATGAAGAAATGAGAGAACAGATGAATAAATGAATGAATGAATAAATGATTGAAAGTAAATGAATGAAGATTTTATACCTATCAGGCAGGCCATGAAGTTGTTAAACTGTCATCAATAATCTAGGGTATAGTTATTAGAAGAATCATTACAGATATTATCATCATCGTCGTCGTGGTCATCATCGTCATCATCGCCTTCATCATCATTATCATCATTATTTTTACTAAATTCATCATCATCAACAACAGCATCCTAATAATCACCATCATCTTCTTCATTATCATCATTATCATCATCATTGCCATAAAAATTTTGTTACATAAACAAATAAATTTGAATTTAAACAAAACTTTAGCAAAACAAAAACATCAGTGAAAATAATAGAAATAATAACTATTATTATTGTTATTATTGTTATCATTATTATAACGGTTAATTAAGAAATGGAACTTTTTCAACAGACATAATAATAGCAATAATAATAAATAACTGTTTTAATTTTTTTTCAAACTGATCGCTAGCTTCAACGTTAGAAACAGTTGAAAATTTCGTTCCATTTCTTCTTCCTATTGTATTTATTATTATTATTATATTGTTATTATTATTATTATTATCGTTATTATTTAGTAGTAGGAGTAGTAGTAGTAGTAGTAGTAGTAGTAGTAATAGTACTGTTGTTATTTGTCATCATTTAAAAATAGTGATAAAGAATCATTAGAAATGCTAAAAATATAAAAATTTCAAGAATTTTTGATTTAAAAAATTCTTAAAAAAATCAATAAATAGAAATAATTATTTAATTTAATGACTAACTTATTTAATTATGACTAAATTTACCTCATGGCTTTCCTAATTTAATTTCCTTTCATGGCCTTAACATGGGTTGATTTTAAAAGATTATTATTATGAATATTATTATTAACAATATTGTTATAATTAATATCAATATAATAATAATAATAATAACTATAATTAATATTATTATTTTTATTGTAATTGTTATAACCAAGAGGGAAGTTTTGAACGTAGCTCAAGGCTAAAAAGAATAAAATCTTTTTATAAATTTTCTCAAAAATTGAATTGAAAAATATTATTATTATTATTATTAATATCATTATTATTAGTGTTTTTATTATTGTTATTGTCATTATTATTATTAATATTATTATTAAATGATATTATTGTATAATGTGAATAAAATATACACAAAATTAAAAAATACCCAAATGTGTGTATATAATGTGAATTTTTCAACAAAAACAAATTATACCACCGAAATTAAAAAAAATTCTTGTTTTGTAATAATTAATACTATAAACAACATCATTATTAATAATAATAATTATTATTATTTTTATACAAATTATGATAATAATAATAATAATAATAATGAATAATAATATTTATCTTCAAACTGCTATCACGGATTCATTCGTCAAGTCCTTGAGGCACTTGTTAAAATGCCTGAGGCATACTGTTAAAAGTTATAAAGTAAAAATCATAGGTGCATCCATAGTGGGTTTTTCTGGGGGTACTTCCCCTTGCCCCCAACACTTCATTGATGATTTTTTGTAAGAGCTGAAGTGGCATTTTATGAATACATTACAAATGTTTCTTATGTATCTTTCAAGATAGCATTTTTTAAATTTTATATTGGTTAAATTGTTTCAAATACATTGTAGAAATATTATAATTATATAATTAAATAAATGAAATTGTAAAAGTAATTGATAAAATTTATTTATTCAAATTTAATTTTGAATTAGTGTGGTTGAAATGCATAGGAACAAAGAGTAACACTTGCAATTGCAAACTACAAACAGAAAAGTTAAACAAATTTTTTTTTTTTTGTGAAAATTTTTCAGGCAGATGAAAAATAACACAAAGTACAACAACAAATATCTCATAATACAACCAACAACAACAAACCACAACAACAAATACAACCAACAGCAAATACCTCATAACATAACCAATCATTCTGCTTAGAATACTGCGTTATTGTACAACAATACCATTATAACTGACATTGAAACATGAAGATAACTGCGCTCCAAAATGACAAGAAATACAAAATCATTTTCGCAGAATTTGTCACGTAAAATATTCGTGAAAAATATCACAATTTTTATAAATTACCCAAAAAATATTAACAAAAATACTACCTTTTATTTTATAGAAAAAAATACAAAGTCTCATTACACACAAAACATCCCGTCATCGTATAGAAAATAAAGCAAAACGCTTCATAATTTTTCCAAAGAGTATGCAAAGAGTATCATCACACAATACCGGCACATGGTACAGCGAAAAATACAACATCACATTACGGTATGACCTCAGCTAATGCTGATTTAGACCTTATAAAGTAAGCATAGGAGGGGATAATATACTAGGATTATATGGATTCTCCTGGAGAAAATGAGCGATACATTTTTCTGAAAATTTTTTTGTTTGCTTCGCGGTTTTTTATTTGAATGTTGGGGTATATTGTTGCGAATATTATACAACATATTATCATCATATTATGTGAAATATCATTTTATATTTTGTGTTGTATACCAATTGTTTTTTGTTGTTAATATTTTTCTATACAAGATTTACAAGTGGTAGTAGCAGCAGCAGCTGTAGTAGTAGAAGTAGCGATAGTAGTAGCGTTACTAGCTGTTGTTTTATGTGTGCAAAAAAAAATATTTTTTGCCCATTTCTGTTTAGTGTTTTGTATATAGTTATTGTTGTTTATGAGGTTGTTGTTTTTTTTGTTTTGTATTGTTTTTAACCTCAAAGTCTGTTTGTTTAATGATCTCTGTATTGTATTTAAATTAATATTATTAATTTTTTGGTATTTTTTATGTTTTCCTTATAATTATTTAATTAAACAATTCATTTATGATTTAATTACTTAATTCAATCATCCATATATTAAAAACAATGAGTGAATGAATGATGAATAGGAAATGAATGAATAGATGAATGAGTGAATGAATGAATGAATTAAGGAATGACTGAATGAATGAATGAATTAATCCAAATAATATCTGACGCCCATAACACGGAGAGTCATAAGGTTACGCAAGATTTATTTCAGAGTTGCATTTTAGTTTGCATAATAATATTGCATAAAATTTATTTTATTTATGTGTTCATTCATTTATTCATTCATTTATTCATTCATTCATTCATTCATTCATTTATTCATTCATTCATTCATTCATTCATTCATTCATTCATTCATTCATTCATTCATTCATTCATTCATTCATTCATTCATTCATTCATTCATTCATTCATTCATTCATTCATTCATTCATTCATTCATTCATTCATTCATTCATTCATTCATTCATTCATTCATTCATTCATCCATCCATCCATCCATCCATCCATCCATCCATCCATTCATTCATTCATTCATTCATTCATTCATTCATTCATTCATTCATTCATTTTTTCTTCGTTTGTTCATTTGTTTTTACCTCAATTTATCAATCTTCTCCTTAACTCAACTCATCTTTTCTGTAACACACGAGTAAGTCTGTGAAGTTATTTCCATTTTCAAAAATTTCCAATGCAATCATAATTTATGATATATTTGTTTTAATAACTTCAGTAATAGTAGTAGTAAGTGAAGATGTGTTAGTAGTAGTAGTGGTGGTGGTACTAGTAGTAGTAGTAGCCGCAAAAATTGCAGTCATTGCAGTAGCAGCAGCAGCAGCAGATGTAGTAGTACTGGTGGATGGTATTAATCTGCGAAAAGCTAGTGATATTTATGATTGTACGCATGAACGCGAACATGCATGTGTATGAGTGTATTAGAATGTATGTGTGTGTATATATATATATATATATTTATATATGTGTGTGTGTGTGTGTGTTTAAAATGCGTATATACACAAACACATATACGCAGACATTTGTAAGTGTGCGTTTATGTGTGAGAATGATGTAAATAATTAAGTATAGTATGTTTATATACTTATTCCTATCTGTAAATTTGACTATATAACACATATTCACATATTCACATGTGTATATATTTGCATCAATGAACACAATAATTTGTTCTAAAAAGCAGCACTATAAATTTATACATATATAATTTTGTATGTGTATATGTGTGCATGTATGTATGTATGTATGAATGTATGTATGTCTGTATGTATGTATATATATATATATATAGACCAATGTATGTATGTACGCTTTTGTTTGTTGCTTTAACTGCTTATAATATATTGGGTATATAAGCGTATATATATATATATGTACATGCATACACACACATACACGCACACACACACACGCACACTTGTGTATATATGTTAGGGGGTAATGTCTATGTGTTCATTTTTGTTTGCTGTTTAGAAGTTTTTAGAAATTATTCTTCTGTGAGGTTGATCTTATTGTAGAATGAATTTATTCAACTTTTTTTTAATAAATTGTTTCGAATTAATTTAAATAAAATATATTTTCTAAATTAACATTTGATTTGTTTGATTTATTTAACCGTAATGTTTATTTTATTGTAAATTGACAATTAATTTATTTTTTAATTACTTAGTATTATAGCTCTACAAGTCGTGAAGCCAATTTGTACTCAGAATATGCTCTTCACAAGTCTAGAGAGGTTAGATTAATTTGCGTTTTAGAGTTCAAATTTTGAAAACAAATGTTTTTTCAAAAACATAAATACGTTCGTAGTTGGTTTAATTTGTTTATATAAAATTTCGAAATTATCAAATGGTGTAACACGCACATAAACACACACACACATCTACACGCACACACATCTCCACACGCACACACATCTCCACACGCACACACATCTACACGCACACACACATCTCCACACATACATATGTTGATCAAGTTTTCTACTTGCTTTTGCTATGTGTATAAGCATATAAAGTTGGGATTGGGCTCTTTCTTATGCTGACTAGAGAGGCATAGTATGTAGTATACAAAGGTGGGGATGTTTGTTAATTGTTTATATATACACACACACACGCACACACATACTTACACACACACACACACACACATTCACATTCATACATACATACTACATACATGATCGGTGGCATTGGAATGTGAAAAGGATTGCTTGCTTGGCTTTTTGAAGGTCTTGGCTAAAATTGTATGCGTCTCAACTAGAACAACCTGCTCATTGCCTGAATGAATGAATGAGTAAATGAATGAATGAATGAATGAATGAGTAAATGAATGAATGAATGAATGAATAACAAATAGCCACATTCAACATACAAGCATTCATACATTCACCAATACACACAACACAATCTTTTCGTATTTACATTACGTACATTCGTAATACGAATTGATGCTTAGTGATAGCAGTTCATTCAATCATTTAGATAAACATATGTATATTTTCCGATCTCTCATTCTACCTCTCTTTCTCTTTCTCTCTTTCTCTCTCTTTTTGTCTCTCTCTCTCTCTCTCTTTCTCTTTCAAGCACATACACATATACATGTTTATCTTTGTTTATGTATATTGTTTAACGCGGCCACTGTTTAGCGCCTCTATGGAATGATTTATGATTTCCCGCTTCTTTTAGTTTTCGCGGTTTTTTCTGTATTTGCGGTGTATTTGTATGAGAGTTTATGTGCGTATTGACGTTTTTTTGTTTATGTGTTTGTGTGTTTTGCATTTTTTTTATATAAGTATATGGCTAATTTTATTTCTATAACTTTATGTGTGTGTGTGTGTTTGTTTGCGTATGTGCATATGTGTGCGTGTCCGTGTGTGTGTGTTTGTGTAGAGTAAAAATGAGTGTATGAAAAGTTGTTTGTTTGTTGGATGATAACGCTGATTAATGTTTAGTACTTCGTTAATGCTCCGGCTAGGCCGTGAGATATATTACTACCATCATCATCATCCTCTTCTTACTCATCATCATCGTTGGCGTCATCATGATCATCATCGTCATCATCTTCACCGTCCAAGGAAAACATAAATGGTACAAGTTACAATAAATAGGCATATATCTGTGTGAATATGTTGTGTGTAGTTTTTCATCATCGTCTTCATCATCATCATCATCATCGTTCTTCATCACCATCTTTATCAACTACATCTTCATCATTATCGTAATTCATCATTTTCGTCATGATAATCCTCATAATCCTCACAAACATTCGCATCATTTTAAATGATTGGAGGTGCTATGATTTTCGCTAGAGTAACAAAGCCGGTTTTTCTAGGTTCAACTGCTCGTTGAGTCAGATTTTTTGTGTACACTATTACAATGATGAAAATCGACATCATTATTATCGGCATCTTTGTGATTATCACCATCATTATTGTTATCATAGTTCAAAAACAACAACATTATCGTCTACTGCATTTTTATCAACTACAACAACAAAAATATCATTCATTATCACTATTAGCAACAACAACAGCATCACCATTAATGACGTCACTACATATCAACAACAACATCAACAAAATTATCAACATCAACAACAACATCAACCATAACAACAAAAACAACAACATCAACAACAAAAACAACAACAGTATTAACAACAACAACATTAACAACAACAACAACAACATTAACAACAACAACAACATTAACAACAAAATCAACAACAAAAACAACAACAGTATTAAAAACAACAACATTAACAACAATAACAACGTCATCAGCAAAAAAAACTTTTCTTTTCTTTCCTCAATATTATAGCGCTTAATGTTGCTATTAAAAAAAACTTTACGACGACTACCGACGCTCTGATTGTTTTTCTGTTTTGATTTACACCTCCTTCCCACATTCCTAGACGACATTGTTAATATTATTATTATAATTATTATAATTATTATTAATATTATTGTTGTTGTTTTTAGTGTTGTTGTTTTTGTTAATATTATTTTTATTTTTTTATTATTTACATTTTTCGGAATAATTTTTGAAATTTCTTTCAATTTTTCTTCCTCCCTCTCTTTCTCTTTCTCTCTCTCTCTCTCCTTTCTCTTTTATTCTACCTTCTCTTTCTCTCCTCTTTCTCTTTCATTCGTTCTTTCTACTTTTCTTTCTTCCTCTTACTTATAAAATGTAAATAGAGATTAGTTTGATGTTAAGTCTTTTTCCTTACGTGCGTCATTCAAATAGTTGAAGAAGACACTATATAGAGATTTTGTGTGACCGGTATTCAATTTCATGTTAAATCATTATTTTTGTTGTTGCAGTTGTTGTCGTTGTCGTCGTTCTTGTTGTCGTTGTTGTTAATTTTGTTATTATTACTATTATTGTTGTTATTATTACTATGTATATATTTATATTGTTACAGTGTTCGAGTTAGGGTTAGGGTTTACTCTTTCGAGATTGAATAAATATTCCGTATTAATTACTGTTGCTATTTTTTATTTATTTAAACAAAAATTAATTTAATGAAATAATTGAATATCTCATTTTAATAATAAGTTAGTGCCGTGAATTTATCCATTTCTTCATCCATTGGCTTGCTATTTCCAGCTTTTATTCTATGGTTTTTATAAATCGATTTGCCAATTAGATACAAATAACCAAGATAGTATTTTAATGAGTCAAATTTTGAAAACCTACATTAACAAATAAAATGGTCATATTTAAATAATTTAAAATATAATTTAAATAACGACAATAATAATAATAGCAATAAAAATGATGATGATGATTATTATTATTTTTATTATTATTATTATTATTATAGTTTTAAAACTTCTACCCATTTAGTTAAATTATTTTTGAACTTTGATTTAAATCGAAGAATGATTTTTAAAAAAAAATTTGTTTATATGTGTGTGTTAGCTTTAGTCGAAAAATTCAAAAATATATAAATTAATTATTTTATTGTATGTAATGAAATAATATTATAGTAGCGAGATGTTATGTGAGTAAAGTGCTTGGCACAAAAGTCGCAGCCACCGAGTTTGATTGCAAGGAGATCCCAAACAATCACATGCAATGTGTGTTTGTTTGTGTTTGTTTGATGCATGGTTTCACGTGTGTGTTTGATGTTGTTGAAGTCTTAAATATTTAAGAAAGAATTTAAATAAATAAATAATTATTTTAATAATTATGAATAACATATTCAAATTTAGATAATGAACGAATTTATTTTCAATTAATTCTTGCGGTATTTAGCAAAATGGTTAGAAAATGAAATTTTTTTATAAAAATTTAAATTTATTAGACTTAAATCTGTATATATTCATAGATAAAATATGAATTTAAAATAATTATTATTACATATGTAATAATAATGATGAAATAAATATATATGTGCGAGTATGTGTGTATGTTTGTTAGATTAAATGTATGTATGTGTATGTAAATCGATTTATTTAATGTTGTATATTTGAGTTTGTAAGCAATATCTATTTAAATAGATAACACATGTGTGTTTGTGTGTGTGTCTTTTTATGTCTGTGTGTAGTTTTGTATGCATGCATTCATTGGTGTTTGTTGGTAAATAAATATACAAATATCATTGAATGAATTGCCAAGTATGTTTGTGTGTTTTTATCTATGTGTGTATGTGTGTGTTTGTATGTATGTGTGTTTGTATGTATGTGTGTGTATGTGTTTAATTGTTGCCAACTCAACTTAATTATATAATCTAGTTGGCTAAAGTTGAAAATGAGTTAATTCATGCTAATGAGATTTCTAGTGGTTTTCATTTATTTAAATGAATGTATGAAAGCATTTGTTAAAATTTTGATGTGTGTGTATGTATGTGTATATGTGCGTATGTGTGAGTGTGTGTGTGTGTGAATGCGTATGTGTGAGTGTGTGTGTGGAGGGATATACATATATGATTTGTATACACGTGGTTATGGGATGTGCATGAATATGTGCGTGTATGTGCAAGATTTTGATGTATGTTTGTATGTATAATTGTTTTTATGTGAATATTTTCTCAATTTTTAAAATATACATACGCTCGTGTTTGTATAAATGTATGTGTATGTGTGAATTTATAAAATGAAGGGTAAGGGCTGTGTGAAGGTTTTATGTGTTTAATTTTTGTGTATGTGTGAGTACATATATATATATATATATGAAATACTTATATATATTTTATATATACTTATGTCTGTGAGAGTGATAGAGAATATATTGAATGTATAATAGATATGTGTGAACTTTTTTTGCATAGTTGTATGTGCGTGAAGTTTATGTTGGTGATAATTAATTGTCGAAATGTTTCTGTGTTTGTTTGTGTTGTTTATTTGGTAGCTTATGTGTCCGTGTCATGTATATGTTTTGTGTATTGGTGTGGAAAAATGCACACGAGTGTGTTTTGTTTTGTATGTGTGCCTCTGAACATTCATTCAATCGTGTTATAAGTTATTATCGTATTTGCTCTTAGTTTTATCTTCGAACACATTGTTGTAGAATGTTTTTTCAATGTTTTTTATTTGAAGATAGGTAAAAAAATACGAAAAAAAAGAATTTTTTTAATAAATATTTTATACTCAATTTACTCAGTTATAAGCGCTTTGTTGCTAAATGATTAATGCAAAGTAATATTAATAATATATTCCAATTTTATTATTATTTATATTTAGTGAAATTAATTCTGTATATTTTAAATAAATAATATCTCTCGAAAACACATAAAAAAAATTTGTCAGTACAGACTGTTATAATACTATTCAGAAAAACATTAACGGCATTCATTAAAACCGAGCCAATGCTGCTACCAATGCTACTTCTACTACTACTGCTGCTGCTACTACTAATGCTGCTGCTGCTGCTGCTGCTACTACTACTACAACAAATAATGATAGTAATATATTTTGTTGATAAGCGTAATAAGATTCGCCATAGAGCCCCATTCTCTCGATAAAAAATTTTCCATTCTTTTGAAGAAAATTTAATTTCAAATATTTATGAGTGTCATGTCATACAGCATTTTTTCAACGCTCCTGAGATATCTTACGCAGAATAAAAATTATAATAACTATTATCATTAATATTATTATTATTATTGTTATTTCAAATTATACTTCATTATTAAATATCATTTTTGATGCTGTTGTTTTTATTAATATCTACAATGTATAGGTTATTGATATTTTAGAAAGGTCATAAGGTTAAAGGTCATTCTCATTTGCGCTTTTTCTTTGGAGGTAGCATCAACAGCAAACACACAAGCTCGTTTGTATGGATACGCACACACACACACACATACACACACACTCACACACACATACACACACAAACACAGACACACACACACATACAAATTGCAAATGAAATGCGTGGATCTGTGTGCATTCGAATCTAGTCACTTCGACACCAGAACCAGATGTCTTTTCCCATTAAGCTTGTCACTCCACTCAATGCTGAATGGTCATTGTGGTTGTTATCAGTGTTGTTGATTATCTAATTATATTTATTATTATTCTTGTTACCTCCGTTGGTAACTTTTATGATTTCATATTTTATAAATTATTCAAACATTTCTGAATTTACTGCAAAAATTGACAAGTTACTAATATCCCATTCAAGTACATAATAAGTGTTCAGCACAGCATTGCGTTTCAAAAATCACATGGGATTTAATCTGCGTTTGAAGCCGGTTAGAATGTGATAGTTCGTTAATAGGGTATTACCATTTTTCATGTAATTTTGCTTAGTGGCTATGACATGTTTGCTCGTCTTTTGTTAGGACTTTTAAATTTCCTTACAATCTTTTGTTATGGTTATGGTTAGAGTTAGTTTTTTTTCATTTTTATCAGAGCATTATCAACATTTATCGCCTATTTGGATTAAAAAGCAACATTTAAGCAACTGTCATCATTATTGTGATCATAATAATAACAACAACAATATTAATAATAATAATAATAACAATAATAATAATGAAATAATACGTACATGAAAAGGTAAGACTCATTAAAAGTTAATGGATATTAAATTAATTTTGAGTTAATAATGCAGTGAGTAAAATATAATCAATAAAATTTATACAAAAATAAAATGCAGTTATTGTTAATAAAAGCTTTTTTAACTCATTGCCTAAAAAAGAACAAACAACAAAGAATGTTATAGATTATTGAGTTCACAGTGGATATTGTAAATAATAATAATAATTAATAATAATAATAACAATAATAATAATTAATAATAATAATAATCATCATCATCTCGTACTCGTCAGTGGCAGTAGCCGTAGAAGCTGCAGTAGTTGTAGTCTTAGTAGTGGTAGAAGTTGTTGTTTTTGTTGTGCTAGTTGAATCGTCATCTATATTGTTAACATCATTCCTTCATTCCTATAAGAAGAAGAATCCTTCTTATAGTATTATTATAATACTAATAATATCAACAAGTATTATTATTGTTATTATTATAATTATTATTGTTGTTGTTGCTGTTATTATTATTATTGTTATAGAATAAAAATAAAATAAAATATAAATGAACCAGACACGTCTCGGTATCGATTAGTTAGCATTCTCACAGCCAGTGTAAAAAAAAACTCATCAACAATCACGACAACAGCAACATCATCATCATCATCGATAAGAGAGCAACATTATCATTGAGCGAAAACATGATGAAGATGATGACGATGGTGACGTGGCTGTTGTTATGACGACAAAGATGATGACGACGACGACGACGATGAAGTTGATGACGATGATGTCGTTTTTGTAGCAGCTGCTATGACTGTTTTTATTTCCTACGTTGTTACTACTACTACTACCACCACAACTACTATTACTACTACTGCTGCTACTACTACTACTACTACTACTACTACTACTACTACTTCTACTATTACTACTACTACTACCTTTTTTTTCTAGTTTATATCTTTTTCTTTCTCGTCTTGGAGTTTATCATTTCCATAGCTCAGAATTCGCTAATAGCCATAAATTTTCCACTAATGCTGACAAAGCCTTCTTTACTTTTTGCAAAAGTATTTTTTCTGAGGTGTTAATATCTATGGTAGCAGTATGAATTTTAGTAATCTTAGAAGTAGTAAAAGCTACTGCAACTACCACCAATAGTAGTTGTTGTAACATCAGTAGTAGCAGCAGTTTTTTCTTCTTTGTACTAGTAGTAGTAAAGTAGTAGTAGTAGTAGCAGCACCAGAATTATTATTTGTTCTTCTTTGAAGTAGTATTAGTTTGTGTAGTAGTGGTAGTAGTAGTAGAAGTAGTAGTAG